TAGTTACATTAAATTGCAAGCCAAAGGGCTTAATTGTGTATGAGTTAGTACTCCTTTTGTTGTAACCAAGTGTTAGCTTGAAAGCTGTAAGCCCATAGGGCATTTGCTTTTGTGTGTTAAACATGTAATACTTATTGTAATGAAAACTCTGTGATTAAGTTGAATGAATGTGGAACGTTTGGAACGTGCAGGTGATCTCATTTTACTGTGTATTAATAGGTATTAGTTGTTGAGCGTTCAGATATAACATGTTCAGATGAGGGGTTATCAAATAACAAAGCCTGCAAGTATTGCTTATGACTAATGAACAAGAAGAAAGAAGTCATGACTAGACCCAGACAAAAACTTCAAAAACGTATTCTAAAACCAGAAAACCTAAAAATGTTGCTTTGATATAATTTTGTATACAATTGTACTCACACATATAAACTTGGAAAACTAGCTTAACAGTTCGGAATACGAGTATCTCTTGGTATTACTTTGAAATACACGAATATAGTTAGTTTCAACATATTATCAAAGTTAATACAATAGATGGCGATGGCATTGCAAAATCTAAATAACCATGCACCACTCTTAAGGTTCTTTTTTTTTTTTTTTTTTTGCCCTTATTTTATATCTTTTTTTCTTTGCTAAGACTATTATTAAAATCTATATTTTTCTTCTTAGCATTGTAGGTCCGCTAATAGAGTATATACTGAAGAAGCTCTCCTTAAACTTTTTGGGACATCTTGCCACTTAACATGCAGCGTTAAAGATGTCAATTTAAACCTTTTATAAGGAGTTAATTTTATTTTCCACACACCTAATTTTGCTCAGCGTTCACAACACACTAATGAAAATTTTCGATAATATGTGGAAACTTTTGTCGTTAATAAAAACACTCTCAAGTGCACATCCTTAATCTTCTATCTACTCAAACCTTATTCTCTCCTAAAACTACTCACAACCATCCTCTATCACTCAGCGCCACCTCTGTTCATCTGCAGTCTCTCCTCGTACGTTTTTTATCTATCCCGTTTGCAATCACTTGTCTTCCATGAACCATACACTCCCACAAAGTCTCTCACTTAGAATCACCTGCTTTATCTGACGGTCGAGCAGAACCTAAGAATAGAGGTGAGATGAGCCTAGATAGCGTTGGCAATGTGTGCATGGCAGGGTCAGATCAAAGTTATACTCGGCCAACGATGAGGTATGAACGAGATAAGTGGGAATGAAATGGAAAAATAAATAAATAAAAAATAGATTTGTGTTGATGTATTTTTAGAATTGTTTCAAAAATAAATAATTTAAAAAAAGAAACTTCTATTTTCAATATGGTTTTCTCCTTTTTAGGAGCCAAAAAAATTAAAAATTAAAAATATTTTTCTTGGTATTTATTTTTGTCAAATTAATCTTTATATTTTCCTTTCCCAAAAAAATTGATTCAAAAATTGAAACCAAACTCATAGTCTTAGGGTTGTATAAAGAGTTGAGAAATGAGGGTAATATTAAGAATATAATTCGCACATGTGTATTGAGAATTTTATAATTTTTGATAATGTTGTGTATTGAGAGTGTTTATTAGAGTGGTGTTATATTGAGAAGAATTTAGTGTGTGAAAATAGAATTCACTCTTCTATATACTAGTAAGCTATAGAGTAAACTTTCATTTTGCAGTTAGTTTGTCTTTCATCTTTCCATTGATACATCTGCATTTCTGATAACGCCCAACGATTGATCTTCTCCTGCGAACTAAGAGTCAATAGGCAGAGTGCTAACCATGAAACGAAAGTACATATTCAGCAAACTTAGAAACCAACGACTAGGTGGAGTATTTTTCAATATGTGTGGGATAGTGCAGTGGGTTAATTTTAGAAATTAAAAGGGGTGGCAGGTTATATTTCCGAAGAGAACAGCAGGGGTGTATAGTGTAATTTACCCTGACATTATCTCAATATACAGAATACTGCAAAAACCCCTTTCACATGGACGCTTTGGTATGTCACAAAGACTATATGTTTTGTTTCAGTTTTTTTAAATTTAATTTTTTAAAGAATTAAATTTTTATTGTTTCTTTTTAGTAAACTCATGTTGTATTTTATTAATTTACTTTTTTAAGTTATTTTCTACTCTTTTTTAGTACTTGACCATTAGCTCTCTACAAAGTAAAAGTGATTTTTGTAACAAATCTATAAAAAAAATTAAATAAATACACAAAAAATACGAAAAATGTATTAATTTAGGTTTTTTTTTGTATTTTTTATATTTAGTGGAATTTTTTCACAAATATTTAATACTTTTTAAGTATATTTATGTTAGCGTGTGTTAAAATTAAAAAATTTATAAAATATTAAAAAATTCCATTAAAACAAAAAATAAAAATAAAAAAGTAAAATTTTTGTGGAAAAATTATTTTTTTTGAAAACCAAAACAAATTCACTGTATTTGATTTAGGTTTCTTGAATTAAATTTTTTTAAAAATGAGTTTTTTATTTTTATGTTTTTTGATTTTTTAGTGAATATTTTAAAATTTTAAACATTTTTATACTTTTTTAGTGCACCTTATCTTAGATGTGTCTAAAAAGTAAAAAACTTGTGAAAAAATATTTTAAAAAAATTAAGAAATACATAAAAATACAAAAAATGTACTAAATTCTTGTTCTCTTGGTATTTAGTGAATTTTTAAAAGATTTTCTTTTATTCCATTTTTTTTACTTTTTAGGTGTATTTATAGTGTGTGTGTTAAAAAGTAAAAACAATTGCATAAAATGATTGTAAAAAATTCTTAATTAAAAAATCAAATAGAATGTAGATTTTTTAAAAAACTATTTTTAAAGAAAATAGGGAACCAAGCAAAGTGATCACGTCTCATCAGGTAGCGTGGGCCAAACAGATCAGACGCCGCCCTAAGGCAGGTAAGGCTTGTGCCTTAGCGCCCGATATTTTGGCTGAAAAAAAGGGCCACAAATTGTAAAAAATTGTTATAGGTTCACTTCTTTTTTTTTTTTTTTTTTTTTTTTTAAATCAATTTAGAAGGGCTCCAAAATGTTTTATTGGGCCCATGTATGGTTTAGTCCATATTTACTTTTAAATGTGTTTTGGCCCACATATGCATTAATGGAAAATATATAATAAATAAATAAAAAAACCAATAGGGCCCTCCTAAATTTGGTAACTATAACATAGTATATATAGGCCCCTAAATTGGCCCAAAAAATAGACTCTAAATTGGTAAAATATTATAGGCTCATGTTTTTTTTTTGTTTGGTTTTACGGATCATTTAGAGGGCTCCAAAATATTTTTTTGGGTCCATGCCGTATGATTTATCCTTTTATTTTAAGTGTAGTTTGGTTCATATTTATTAAAATGAAAATATTATTAAAAAATGAGAAGTATTTGCGGCTCAAGAAAAATAATACATAC